CTTAACAGTGTTCAAGAAATCTTTCTTGTCCTCCCACACATGGATTGGCTGCAGCTTCACTGTGTTCCTCCAGATTCTGAGGCAAGGTTCACACAAGCCAGTGCTATCCCCAAAGGACAGGCAGAGGGAAGTGCTAAGCAGCCAAAGAAGAAAAGTTACTTTCAGTGGATGTGGCTCCTGGATGTGTTTTTTGCAGATATGTTCATTTACACTGTGCATGGTTGCACAGCAAACCCTCAAGCCAGACCTGTTTTTACCAATGCAATACCCAGAGGGGGCACACATGCTCTGTCTTCCCTCTCAGCACAAACGTAATTACAAAACAGCAATATTCTGTGGTGACACTTAGCAACAGAAGTGTCAGAAAAGAGATCTAAAGATGGAAGTGGAAAGGAAAATAGGTAACAAGTCTGCATATGGATTACAGATATCAAATGTAGAGTTAATAGTAAATAATTTTTCTTATTTGAGAGCCAGTACATAAAAATTCAACGCTTCTGTCCATTATGTGATTACTGGACATGTAGAGCTGGTCCTCTGTCTTCTTAAGAATAAAAAGGCCACTGGGCTGATTTTTGCATGCATCATTGTTCCACAGTGCCCTGGCAATTACAGAGATGGAGTTGAAAGTGTGCTGCCCCAGGCAGGAAGCTCCCTGCAGTCACTTGAGATGGTGACTGAGCTCTAGTGAGATATGGCCCACACACCCCAAAGAAGCAGCCAGGATGTCTCAGGCTGTAAAAATGGTCTTCTTGTTATCTAGTGTCCAAAGATGGCTTGTCCACAGAGGTGTGAGGCTTAAGGGAGAATGCAGATGTTTATTTCTTAAGTTTGGATGGAATTCTGACACAATCTTTGGGGGGAATTTTGGGATGAACCTAAAAAGTTGTCTCAACTACAAAGAATGATAGAAGATGTCAGAAGTTTGCATTGCTGCTGGGTGCAGGAAATGGCCTTGAAGTCTGGTACATACAACAGGAGACAAGGGCTCCAATGGCTGTCCCAGGAAGCGTGCAAGGACCAAGTTCAGGTCCCATGTTAATGAGAACACTTTAACAAGAATGTTCACCAAACATTCCTATGCTACAGTGTGTTCTGGACTGGCCTTTCCTAAACCTGAGCTTCTAAAACTTAAAGGCTTCCCCCTGCATCAGTGATCAATCAGAAATGGCAGTATGTCTCCCCCAGAGCTGGTTTGTCCCTGAAATCTGTTTTAGACCCATTTGTTAACCTTGCATGAGCAGAGCTGAGTTTCATTTTCTCCCGAGGGATCTCTGCAAAGTAAGGTGAGATTTGATACCTATGAGTTTTACTGTCTCAGTTTAGTCACCTCTTCTGCTGTCAGCACCTCCTGCCTGTCTGAAGTGAAAAGCACTAAAGCTCAGTCCCTATTTCTGGATCTGCTTATGGAGAATTTGAGGCATTTGACCCACCCCAACCTTCTGCTTTTCATCTGAGGAGGAAAGTGCCAGATAGTTCTCATCAATAGGAAATGTGTGTGTGTCTTGTTCCAGGTGGCATCAAAAACATTCAGCAAAGTTCAACTGGGTGACAGAACCCAGCTGAGCAGAAGGACCTTTTGTTCTGGCATGGATTTATCAGATCAAGAAAAAAACAGTATCAGACAGGAAAATCAATGGGTTCTCTGAAGGAAAGGGTCAGCCTGTTTTTTGGGGGGACATGTCAAGGAGCCCAGAGAGCTACAGTATTACTCTTCACACTAAGTAAGGGAGGGGGAGAGAAGAGAGCTGGTTGGTGAAGAAGAGATGCAGAAATTACAGGCTTTCCAGGAGTGATTTGAAAAATGCAGAGAGGGTGCTCCAGTGTCCAAGGCTCTGCAAAGGGCTTGAAATACCTTGAGCTGTGAAACTGCTGGAGACACTGTAAGCAGGTCTAATAAGACAGCTGGAAGATGCAATGAAGCCATGAAATGATGCATACTGCAAATCATATAGGCTGAGAGCAAGAAAACAAAGGGAATTTTCTGTGTTTTGAGAAGTTGTGCTGTAGGATTATGGCTGGGGTTCACCTGACCTCTTCAGATGACAAGAGAGTAAAGGGACTTAAACACAAAGCATGCCACCTCACTCAGAAAAAAATCCCTTTTCTCAAATGAGCTGCAAAATACGTGTTGCAGTCCCAGGTATGCTGAACAGCTAAAAGCAAAGTCACAACATCAAAAAATACTCTAACTTAAGACAGACATAAAGAACTACTTACAAGTGGATTTGAAACACCAAGGGTAGCCACAAAAGTCCTCAAGGTTACCTTTTGATTCTCTATTTGCATTCCCTGGGTGTTTCCATGAGATAAAGAGCATGAATTTGGAGGAAACTAAAGGAGTTCAGTTCTCAAAAGGGCAACATCTTGTCAGGGGAGAGAAGTACACTGCTTGCACATAGCAGCATAGCCTGGAGGGAAAAACTCTTGAAGTGATAGCTAGGCATTAAGTTTTCAGGTTGTTGAAACAGAGCTGCTTTGTTGTTGTTGTTGTTGTTTTCATTCACCATCTCCTCAAAATGTTGTCTGGGAAATCACCAACCTCCTCACATTAGAAGATATTCTCCCAAATCTTAGATTTGCTTACTTTTATGAAATACACCAGATCTGTTCCTTATCAATTAACTATGTCTAGAAATAAGTATGATCTCAGCGTGAGCCAGATACACATCAAAGACATTAAATGCCTACTGGAGCAGTAAATATTCTATGTGAGAAGTATTGCTTATGGAGCATCTGCTTTCCCACATTGTGTGCTGAGAGTTTAGATGTAAGAATCCCATAATCCCAGCAATAACTGCTGTAAGATACTGCTGGAGTCAACATGAAGAGAGAAGTGCAGTCAGTGGTCCCTCAGCAAGCTGGAAGTAGGCATGCAGGCTGTGGAGAACAGTCATGTTTGCCATCCAATTGAAAAATGGCTTTAAATATATTGTTAGAAATCCAGTAGGGAGGAAAAGATGAGTGTGGGAGAGAAAGAACGTGAAGGTGGACACAGTGAAGGCATGCCATTCTTGGCCAACTCACAGAGAACGAAGAATGCTGGACGTAAGGATAGAATGATACAACATGCTAAGGATTCGTTAGTAAATGAAAATCAGCAAACATATGGGCATGGGAAAACCCAACTGGCAGTGTTCCAAGTGCTGAGGCTCTGCCAAGTTTTGCAAGTTGTACCCTATAATTGTTCTCACAGACAGTGGGGAGTGGAGCTTGCGTGCCTTTGTTTCAGTGTACATGGGAGCGAGCGCTTGGCAAGGAAGGGGCACGTGAGAGTGTGTCAGGGCAACATCGCATCTCCACAGGCAGATGCACTTGTGAACACACAAAAAGACTCCCACTTCTCCAGCTGTGCTGCACCATGGGAGCAATGGGAGATACAGGACCAGTGTTTGTCTCTGTGGTTGGACACACTACTTCAGCATCTATGCCATTACTGGTTGCTTCACGTACCCATGCTTTCAGGAAGATCCTAGCTCCTTACACAAACCTCTGAGCTTGTAGAGCAAATGGGCCAAGAAGCTCTAGAAGGCAGTGGGGCTGTGCTGTGTACGGCAGCTTCCTGAGCTCCAAAGGTGTGTGCTCATGGGCATCATTTGTCCTGTAGGCCTAGATCTTTGTAACAAAGCTCAGATAGCCAGCCCAAACTTGTATTCTGCAACATCTTCCTTGAAACATGCATTAGAAAAAAATGAAAGTCATTGCAAAAGCTTTCATTAAAGTATAAAGCTCTGTTGACATGAAAAATTTTGGCTGATACTGCCACACACCTGGAAATATGCCTGTACAAGCCACTGTGCAGACTTTTAAAACTGTGTTTTCTGAGTAGTTCAGATGTGACTGTCTGAATGATCTAGCTTAAACTACTTAAACTGAAACATATAATGAATTTTGTTTGTTTGTTTGTTTGTTTTTTTGAAGTTACACAGAGGTCTTTACTGCTGATGCCACTTGTAGGTCTCCATCAGTCTCTTCAGACAGCAGTCTCTTGTTTGGACTATACCTGAGGCTCCTGTCAAGTAACTCCCAGTATTAAGTTCTTTACAGAGAGAGTGGTGAGGTGCTGGCACAGGCTGCCCAGAGAGGTTATGGGTGCCCCATCCCTGGAGGTGTTCAAGACCAGGTTGGATGGGGCCCTGGGCAGCCTGGTCTAGTATTAAATGTGGAAGTTTGTGGCCCTGCATGTGGCAGGGGGTTGGAGAGTCGTGATCCTTGAGGTCCCTTCCAACCCTGGCCATTCTGTGAGTCTGTGATGTAGCAGACAACATGTGGTTTAAGACACTGCTGCCTACTTCTGCCTGGTAGAGGTGGAAACATGGCAGTAGGAAGACAGTCCTAAACCTCGATTCGTTCTGTGAGTGATTGCAAAAGGCCTCTGTCTCTACGCGCTATGATTGCCCACAAACTCTCCAAAAATGTGAACTGACCTTAACAAATACACAGATGAATTTGCAGAGAACCCAGAACAGTGTTATCAGTGGGTACGTCTGAACTTAGCTATTTTCTCAATGAGGAGGGAGTTCAGATGCTCAGAAATATTGAACTGCTCCAGTATCAGTACTCTCCTTAGAAAAGGAAACAGCTCAGTTTGTTCACGCTGAGTTTGTTATACGTATTTGCCACTTACTTGTCTGCTCTTGCAGCAATATTGTGTAACAAAGCCAGCTCCCAGATTTTTGGGTCTTCATGAACTACCATGGCTACCATACCCCTGCAGATGCTCAATTTTAAGTACCACAACACTCCATTATGCAAGCCTTACGTGCATGTTTTTTGACAGATTAGGTCTCAGGCAATTTTTGGCCTCTTTGTCACTTCTTCGCAAGCACTGCAGCCATACTGAGAGCAGTGAGTGGGAGCATCAAATCTTTCAGATGTGAAACACTGAACACAGGCAGTTTCTGGGAGATGTTTCCTTGGGAAAGCCCCCATTCTGCTGTCTGAAGCACACGGAGAAACACCTGAGCAGAAGGAATGACAAAAACACAGCAGCCATCGCCTAGGCTAGAAAACAATGGAATTTTTATTGAACAGAGATGGCTCATTATCACACTCCAGAGAATTCCAACTGCTATTCAGCAATATTTGTCGCCATCTGATAATAACCTATGGGGGTAGCTGTATAAAATAGGAATAAAATACCAAATTGCTATATTCATTAATAAGTTTGCCTTCCAAATACAGAACCATATGTAATTTAAAGTCTGAAAATAGACTACGGTTGTTAGCGTTTAAACCAAACCTTTATGATAACAAATATACAAAAAGGCAGTCAATATATTAAACATTTAATCAACAGCATACATTTCTCAGAGGTAAACATTGAGCAAACAAAGCCACCAATGATGTTCAGAAGGCAGGTAGAAGTTTTAAGGTCAAGCTCCAAATACTGTTGCTTTCCTAAAGCCGTAGTGGAATTACACTTTTATCTAGCCCCTACATTGCAAACTACACAGCATGGACATTTGAAATTATTATAACATTTGCTATCCAACAAGAAATTAGAAGTTTCTTCGGTCCTTATTGTACCTCACTGTATGTATATTAAAGCACCTGCAGAGACAGAGGGCAGTAGGAATTAAGCACTTTGCTTTGCTAGATTGGGGTCTTACTTCTGTTAAAGGTGAGGGCAACAGCATCCTTCTATCGACACAAACTCCAGCACTGACAGAAGAGAAGTACTGGCCTAACAGACAGATTTTATGAATAATCAGCTTTGCAACAGGCATGAAACAGCATGGGATTGCATACTTGCCTATTGACAGTAAGTCTGTGCTGTTTCTACTGCACAGAAAAGTCTCCTTCGGTAGTTGACCTAATGCCTGAGTTTGAAAGCTTGGGATGCGTACATACGCTCAAAAATAATGTGACAAATTTACTATCAATAAAAACATGTTTCAATGCCAACAACTAATAAAAGTTCATATTGCAATACTGCTCACAACATAAATGTACAATTTGCACAAAACATTGCTCTTCAACATGAATATTTTGCAAGCTACTATATATATATAATATGTATAACCTTTTCTTAAAGAATCATATGCTGGAGTGCATGCAAAGAATTTCAAAGCAGTAACACAACAGGAGCAATCACTTGTTTACAGGTTACTGAAACCATTCAATACAGAAACACCGGGATATTAGATAGACAGACAGACAGATAGGTAGATGTATGTACACACTGCTTCTTCGTGGACCTTCCTTTCCGTGTTACACGAGCAGTGTGGGTTCTGTATAAGCCCAGGTCCCTACAAAAGACTGATTCAAACAGGGCTCTGACTGTTCTCTACACCATCTGGAACCATAAATCGCTTCTGCTGGAGATGATGGTGAAGGAAGCACTTGTCCTTTAGCCAGGAGTGGAAGCAAGCAATCTTCTCCATAGCCAACGCCTGTTCCAATCCCAATCCTACGTTCACAAGCAGTGGTGAGCATCTATCCATCCTGTGTTTTGGCTGGTTCCAAGTAGTCTCCTGCAGCCTTTACAGTTGGAAACCCAAGAAGGGAGAACTTGGATCTCCTAAACAGCAGTGCACAGCACTGCCCCTGTTCTAGTCAGGTATGTACAAGGAATGATACGTCTCCTCTGGTTAAAAATTTACATAGAGTATATACAAATAAAGCTATTCTATCAAGGTGCAAGTTTATTATTCTCTGGTGTATTCCAGTGAAGATTTCTTACAAACCTTTATACAAACTCATCAGAAGAGTTTACACAAAGTTGACATTTTGTCACAGCTCACTATGTAGGCTTTGTTCTGCAAGCTTTGGAATGGAAACTCCCCCTACTTTCCCTTGGAGTTCTCCCTGTGCACAAGACCGGATTTGGTAGACTACAGTCACATCTAATATATATTTTTTGTCTTCAATACATTTCAGACGGGATGAATTGGCAACATGTGTTGTTGTTTTTTTTTTCTCTCCAGGAAGTCATCAATCTCTATGAAATGAAGCAGGATGGAAATGAAGAAACTGGACATCACAGGGGTTGCAGTTCATGTGCCCAGTTCAGCTCTCCTTGCTTTAGATGGGACTATTTGTGGCAAGTGAAGCGACCCAGTTTGGCCTTAAGGGTATATTTTTAAGTCCTTGGCACTATTTTACACCAAGCTGATGGCAGGTAATGCCCTCAAAGAAACATTAAAAAAAAAAAAAATCAAATGTAATTTACTGAATGCAAAACAGTAAACATCAGACTGATCCACTAAGCAGATGGATATGGAATGCAAATTGTCTAAAATTAGAATGGTTGATGTTTTCTCAGGCAGGTCTAAATCTGTAAAAATCTTTCCCACCCTACAAAGGCCTCATTCTGCACCATGTAAATATAAGATAAGCCATTGGAAATGCAAAGATTGTGATCAGTGAGCACAAGGAAAGCCTACCCTCTCCCATTTCTGTTCAGCAGAAACCTCAAAATTGTGCAGCTAACGAATGTAACTTAAGTACATGTCTGTGATTCCTGCTGAAGTAGGGCTGTTCTGTGGCAGCAGGATTTGGCCATCAGCCTTTATGGTGTACTAACCACAACTGTGTGGATAACTGGGTGGGAAATTCTATCCACCAGTGCATTAAAAAGCCTTGCAACCTTGCTGTATTCCCACTGACTTCATGAGAGTTGACCAAGTGTGTGTTCAGCACCACTGGAAGTAAGCTTTTCAAAGATCTTTTCCTAACACCATTTTCCTCCATTTTGTAGCTCAGTTTTAACAAGACATTCAAAGCAGAGGTTTTGCACACGTACTCTGAAGCTACAGGGAGCATTTTACACTAGAAGCAAAGATCTGATTAGATTTCCTCTTTTTTCAAAGTAATACAATAATAAAAAAGAGCTTGCTACTTTCATCTGCCTTCCTGCATTTGTACAGCATTAACAAAATGACATTCAGCAATGACAAATGAATCTTAATCTCATTGGAGATTTTAAAAGGATTAGCATCAGACAAAATGGGGTTTAAAAGAACATGAGGTGGACAAAGACACTCCTTCAGAGTCTTTCCAACATTTATGCTGAAGACCATATTACGTGATAGAACATGTAAAGCTTTCTGATCCAGCTGAATGAAGGCATTATACTCGAGGGAAAAACATGTTCATATTGGAATAAAATAAAATTAAAAAATCAAGATAAATAAAATAGCAAAAACAATTTAAACCAACGAGAAAGTTATGGATATGGTGGACAAATCTACCATTTCAAGTTATGGCTGAGCTACTCTGTTTTTATACGTTTCCTCCTGCCTCGTTTCCAAGTGCCCTGTGGTTTCAGTGGAACAGTTTGCTCAGGAGCATTAGTAGTGCCAAGCAGGGGATTTTCAGAATCATCCAGCAGACTTCAGAGACTGACATCTTTGAATGAGCTACAGATGTCTGTCTGTCTTTTTGTGGTGAAATGTTTGGTTCCAGGAACATTTTTCTTAGCTAAACTCTTGGTGTACTGACAAACATCTGCCATCTGACTTCTATCCTCTGACTCTGTGGTGTTTTGGAAGTCAAACATTCCAAGAAGGATACAAAAAGGGGAGGAAAGTTTCACCTGTGCCGTTAGTTGTAGATGACCTCAGGCACGTCTGTGAAGCTACAAGCCAGTGTTCAAGCTGCATTTGTGGGCTGGAGGACAATAGCTTTTTGTTGGCAGTTACTGTTGAGTTGTGTGATCTTTCATTTGTTTCTCAATAAAAAGTGAAGAGAAACCTTCCATAAAACCCCCAGTAATGGATGGAATGGATGGCAGCAAACAAAACTACTCTGCTAAGATTAAAAAGAAAAAAAGCTGCCACAAAACCCAGCAGCACTCATAACAATCGTAACAAATGCAAAACAATCATAACCCTTCCTGGTTTTTATATTACACAAATTAAGAGTCTTCCCAACAGCTGTATATAAAAATAATAATAAATAAATCAAGATTCACTTGACGGTTCTGCACCATTCCAGAAACCGTCTTATTTCTAGCACATCCGTTCCTCTGGCTTTCATCTTTCTCTTCTATCTTTAACATCAAAGACATCTCAGAGACAAGTGGGAGTGGATGTGCAGAGGGATGAAGGAAGCAAAGAGTTGTCACAGGGATGGTACTATTCAGGACTCTTGCACCGGGATTTTCCCACTCAGCTGTTGTTTTCAATGGTAAACATAAAGACACAAAACTAGTCCTCCAGAATTGGACGACAGAGCAGGGACCTCTTCCTCATTTAAGGATCTAATTACAGATATGTATTTGGCTTGGGAAGCATGAGATGCGAGAAGACTTCAAAGGTGACACAGTATGAAAGAGAAATAGAAAACAGACCTAATCCATAGACTAGAAAAAAATCAATGAAAAGGCTTCCAGCAATTTTAATGGGGCAAATTTATCAGACTTTAATGTTTGGTTTGTGAATGAGGTTATAGTAGAATCTTAACTTGTATTTTCCCTAGAACATTCATATATTCTTCATTTAACATGTAAATTACTTTCTGAACCTTGTATCAAATATTTATAAATGCTAAACAAGGTAAAATGTGAAACCCTTTTGGGAAGGTGGAGTGGAGGGAGGTTTAGTTGCACTAATGGATATTGCCATTAATGCTTAGCATCAAGGAAGCCTGACTGCCATTAACAAGAAATCTCATTACAAACATGATTTCACGCCTCATAACGTATCCTGTCGATCTATTTACTGTCCATCTCTCTCTCGAACATACAAACACACGAAGATAACTACGGATGAAAAGTCCAAAATATATTTCATATCCTTAACCTTTTTTTTCCCCACGTAGTCATAACCAAATTAAAATCAAAGCAGCAGAAAATCCACAGCTTGAACAATATAGAACGAATTCCTTTACAGTGCCACAACAAGCAAAGGACAGATGAGTGAACAGTGGGCTAGATTGAAAGCCGGCTGACTGGCAGAGCTGCGAAGGTTATTGTCAGTGGTGCACTATAGCTGGAGGCCTGTAGCTAGCAGTGCTCCCCTGCGGTTGATATGGAGTCCATTCTTGTTCAACTTCATCAGTGACCTGGATGAAGGGATACAGTTCACCCTCAGCAAGTTTGCTGATGAAACAAAGCTGGGAGGAGTGGCTGACACACCAGAAGGCTGTGCTCACAAAAGCCGGCTCCCCAGCTCCCAAAAGAGATCTTCTAGAGAGCCCAGCAAAGGGCCACAGAGATGATGAGGGACCTGGAGCACCTCTGTTATGAGGAAAGGCTAAGAGACACGGGACTGTTCAGCTTTGGATAGGAGAAAGCTGAGAGGGGATATTATCAATGTTTATAAATATCTAATGGAGGGGAGACAAGTGGATAGGGCCAGGCTTGTTTCAGCAGTGCCCAGTGACAGAACAAGGGGAAATGGGCACAAACTGGACCATAGGAAGATCCATACAAGCACGAGCACCTTCTACACTTTGAGGGTGACAGAGCACTGGAATAGGCTGCCTACAGAGGTTGTGGATATCTCCTTCTCTGGAGATATTCAAAACCCACCTAGATGTTTTCTTGTGTAATCTACTGTCTGTAAAGAAACAGCTTTAGCAGAGGGTTGGATTAGATGATCTTCAGAAGTCCTTCCAATCCCTATGATTCTGTCATTCTGTGTGATTCAATGGATAACCATGAATTCACATTTCAAAGAAGGCTGAGAGCTTTACCATGTCACCAAGAGGCTGATCAGTCACTAGTGCAGTAGCCAAAAGCCAAAGGTGATTTCTGAAGCTATTGAACTGACTGTCCCAAACTTGTTTATTGGTAGTTTACCCAGGTTTGATTGGGTGAAGCAAGGTGCCTGATCGGGTGAACACTGACATTAGGGAAGTAGCATGCATTGTGAGGAGACCTTGGGGGCTTCCCACTGCTCCTACCTCCTGCCACCTCAGCCCACAGATGTGCTGTGGGCTCTCCAAAAACCACAAAGCACAGTGAACTGGACTTCTGAAAGTCTCATTTGAAAGCAACTCACACAGAACACCACAAGGCAGTCAATTTGTCCACTGCTGGGAACAGGAAAGGGCAAGGCGGTTTGGCTTAAACCTGCACTTGAACAAGTCCAGATGTTTTGAATCTCAGTAATCCATCCCTGCCAAAATATCAGAGGTGTGAAGGCTGTGACCTTAATTAATTGAAATGACCTCCTAGCAGACTGGCTTTTCTAATATGTCTGTTTTTTTCTTTTTTTCTTTTTTCTTTTTTTTTTTCTTTTTCTTTTTTTTTTTTTTTGTCTGAGCATCTCCCTTTTCTGATGCAGCTTATTTTAAACCATGAATGATTTCTGATTGGGTATTTCAGGGAGTTTTTCTCCCTTTCTTTGTTTGCTTCAGAAAGGCAGTAAGAAAGAAGATTGCTTCTCACTGCGCTAGGCAAAGCCGGGTAATGGAAGTTTTAATGAAAACACAGCAGCAGAGATGATGGGAAGTGGGAAGACCAAAGTTAACCACATACGAAAGAGTTCAGGCAAATTCACTCTTGCAGCTGCAGCGGTGGAGATATTTATAAGGCCAAAAAAAAGCAGTACCAATTGCTAGAGCTCCACAGCCGCATCTGAGCAGTGTGACTGAGCGAACCCTGAGAACTGAAAAGACCAGAGCCAAAGCATTTGGCTGGGAATACTGGGTGAGGGGTGGGAGATGGGGCTGCTTTCCCCTCTCCTCCTGTCCTCTGCTCTCCTCTTTGGCAGCACAGAAATTCTGAGCTGGAAACCAAATGAAGCAGGATGGAGAGAACTCCATACCTTGAAAACTCAAGGCAGAGACCAGGGGTTAGGCATTTAAATTCTGGGATCCCATCCTTTTCCCTTACTAAAGATCTTTTCATTAGTGTGCCATCCAACCCACACAGAAACCTGTGCCTGCTCTAAGCGCACCTACTCACACAGCACCATCACCTCCATGGGACAAGAGGTAAAAAATACATCTATGAGCCCGAAGAAGGAAGAAAAATGCCTCCCAAAGGAAAAAACCCCACCAGAATTGCTGTTCCAGCACATCACGTACAATCAGGTGGATCGATGTAGACAACTAAACAGCACAGCCCGCAAAGCCACAAGATGTTCATAGAAATTAACCTATTGAGCCAATGCAACCCCTCCTGCAAGTTTTTGCCATGTTTCCCAGCTGTTTCAATACCAAGCAACCCTTGCAAAGTACAGAAGCCAATCAAGGCTACATCAACCTGAGAAAAACAAGAGCTGCCACATTTAGAACCTTCTGTGTGAAACAGTGCAAGATAAACCAGGCCATCCATGGCTGATCTATGCAAGAAGTCTCGAACCAAGCTAAAAGCATGACAATTTAAAGGCAACAACAACAAAAATCCAGTCCCCCCATCCAAAGCTTACTTCTCCAGTTTTTAAGCTCACAGAAGACAGCTGACAAATGCTTATTTTCTTCAACACATTTCCAGATTTTTTCCTTCAGCTTTGGGCGCTGTATTTGTAGTGCTTTCAGCAGTGGTCTCACAGCTCATCGCTCTCAGCTCAAGACTCAGATTCACTTTTTGCCCTTGGAGGGCAGTTAGACACTGTAGGTCAGGTGTGAGTCTACTGAAACATGGAAACTGGCTCAGAGCTGGCAGCCCATTTGCACCTACTGAAGACAACAAAACTTGCCTTATAATAAGATGTTAAAGAATAAGCACCATTAGAGATGTTCTCATCGATGGGGTTTCAGATATTATTTGACTGCTGTTTCAAAGCGAACTTTCTGAAAGCTGGTTTATTAAATATTAGGACAAATCCTAAGCAGCCTTTTTTATTATGATTATGTATCTCAACAGATCTGCATCTCTGGGCCAGGGGATGAAAGCAACGTCAGGCACTTCATTTCTGCAAAGCGCTTCCTTCCTCACATGAAAGACACTTTGTCAAACAAACTAACTTCAAGTCTTTGACTTCAGGTAACTGTCGTTCATCAAAAAAAAAGAAATCATCCACTGACTTCAGAGCAGCCCTAGTGAATGTGGGCTCCAGGATGTCACCTTTCTGGAATAGTTTTTAAAAACAGAGCCAGCTCCTGAGAGGCAGCAAATACCTACAGCTGATTTCTAAGAGCTTTGCAGGACCTTTGCTGCTTCTGGGGTCCAGCCCGTGGGCAACAGGATTAGGAACAGCCCTTTTGTTAAGATGGCCGAGTCTTGCCTCAAGCAGGTACGTGTGTGAACTCCAACACCTCTATTTCTTATGAACATTAAAAAACTGAAGCCCTTAAATAGCATCCTGCACACCTGAGTCCCTGTGGGCTTAGCGGCAATCTGCAATAGCAGAACCTTCCCCTGATGTGGGGCAGATCTGGGATGAAGAAGAGGTGCCCATTCTTTCTTCTCACCATACCAACTTACTGCAGTACAAAACAAGGGTTTTTTTTTTCCTTTTAACCTCCACAAGGCAGCACATCACGTCCCCCGAAGCCACCAGCAGACCACACTGCACCCAGAACACATACAAGCACTCGGTACAGAGCTGGAGGCCAGTGGCTATTCAGTACAGGAGGCTCAGTGTCAAAAGCAGCACGTGGACGTTCAGCAGGCAGCTCGCACTGTGCCAACAGCAGGCTGGCTACTAAGCTCCCACACCTCTTTAAGAATGTTTCCTCTGTCTTTTAACAGACGTTTGCACAAATCTACTCGGAAACTGAGTCCAGGCAAGCAAAGCTTTAGCTGGGAAAAAGTCTTTGCCGCTACAAAACTGGCCCTGCTCCAGGATGGAGAGCATCTGGCTGCCAGCTGTGCTAAGAGGACAGCAGGCTTAAGGAACAGAGCAGGGAAAAATTGAGAAAGGAGCAGACAGTGCTGAAATCTGTCCTGAAAAGAATACCAGCCTTTCTCTCTGATGTCCAAAACCTTTGCCCTCATGCATTCCCCATCCTTTTCCCAGCTCTGAAGCTTGCTCTTGGGAAATCGCCCATTCGGGAGAACGCAGCTAGCATCTCTGGGCTTGGGAAGGGGTCCAGTGGGGCTCCAGAGTTACAAATTGGGAAGTCTGGAAGCTGGCAGCACATGAGGCATAGTGGAAATGAGAGGAAGTTCTGGAAGCAAAGGGAGACAGAGGGAAAGATCTGTAGTGAGGCAAGGATAGGATGACTGCAAGCCTCAAAGAATACAGCATGGGGCTTGTATAAAAAAGGCACATGGAAAGAACAAAAGCAGCCCTTCACCCTCTGTAGTCTATGAAATTATTATTAAAAAAAGAAAAGGAAAAAAAAATCACACGTTTTTCTAAGGATTTTGTTGTGTTTTTTTTCCATTTTACCTACAGCAGCTGGAGAAGATTCGAGGCCGTATTTTCCCCTCAAAATTTGGAAATTATAGCAACTTGTGCAAAGACTAAAGAAGCAGAAGGCTGTTTATTTTCTAAAGTGGTGACACCATCTCTCTAAAAATTCCTAATAAAATGCTCTGATGGAAAGAGCCGTACCTGATAGGGATGGTGGTCACAGGCACCCACTGAAACTCACACTGCTTTTTAGATCACATTTGCAATAGAGCCCTTCCCCCAGCCCCAGATTAATGGAATGGGGAATCCATGCATGAAACCACATATCACAAAACCAGGAGATTATGAAACAGGCCGGGAGACGGGATTGGAATTGAAATTGATTTTGATGAACTGGGGAAATTGCCCCAATTAAACCAGAACAAATTTAATAAAGACAAGCTGAAAGTGTTAAAACTTGGGAAGGTGGAGTAAACAAACATGCACCTAAAAAAGGGAGCTCCTGGGACAGCAGCTGTAAGTCACTCAGGAATTGTAATGCAAGGTGGATGAAAATCAGCCACGGGATGTAGAAAATATTCTGGGATATATGCTCTATGTAAAACTCATGAGACAGTTTCTGAGCCTTGCTTGTTGCTGTATAAATCCCCCACAGGAGCAGAATATTCTGGGAAGCTGGGAAGACATGAGGGGAAAGACAGCAAAAATCAGAGGCTTAGAAAATATTACCTGAAAGGACTAAGGAAGACTTGAAGTGAGGGAGGTATGATAATTCCTTTCATACGCAGAATAATTTTGTAAAAAGGCCATGGATCATCTGTTCTTGCTCTTGATTGAGGCTGGAAGAAAAAGCGTTTTGATTTGCAGCAAAGAATTTCTGAACAGTCTGTATCAGAAACCTTTCTGATGATGGGTTTGGTGGAGATGGTGGATCGTGCAACAGCTCTGAATGACAGGTCATTGGGGTCCTTTGCTCCTACTGTGTGCTAAAGATCAGCAAAGCAGATCTGGTGGTGGCAGCGGGTGCCACGCTTTCTGTCAAACCCCAGACTCACAAGAATGCAGAGGAGCACAGGGACACAGCAACACGTGGACCAGCAGTGCTGCACACAGACACTGCAGTGTGAGCCTGGAGATGGGCACTCTGCTGCTACAGGAAAACCTCTTATTTTCCCCTGGAGGACCCAAACATGATGTCCATGAAGTTCATGTATAGGCACCAAAGAACATACTAAGTCCTTCATCTCTGCAATAAAAACCAGTGAATGTTACCACAGATAGTCTCAATTCAACTTATCAGGAGAACAGCTAGCACAGTTATCAGTATTTCCCTCCCACTAAGTCCAAGGCAGGTTCCTAGTCATGCTCAAAAACCATCACCTTCAAGGAGAAGGTATGCACACAGGACTCTATCCCCTTACCAAACACTATGAATATTTGAGAAGGAAACAGAGGCACAACACTTCTGGCTGCCATTATAACATCCAACACCAGACTGCCTATCAAAAGCTAAGGTACACCTATGTGCTTGTTTCCCAGAAAAAGGTACTCTGCCTACGGACGTATGTGTGTGCAACTCTTGATGACTTCATTGGACACTACACATGTACCCAAGGGAAAAAATTTAATATCATGCTTATTGTCTGAAAAACTTTCCTACTTTAAAGCATGAAGCTGCGGGATGAGGTCTGCTCCTGCCTTGCTATCATTAGCACAAGGGATGGCTTTCCTTGGATGAGGAGGCACAGTGAATGACAACAAGCACCCTGCATGTTGTTGCTCCATCAGCCACAGTCATGCTTCTCCACTATCACAACCTTCACAAAAAGCTGTCGTTACCTGAATGTTCTCAACAACATCCTGTGTGAACATTTGCTAGGCAGGAAAACAAAAGGTCTAACTGACTGATATGCCGTGTCTCTAAGACATTAGCATCAGTTCAGACATTTGTGTACTTTCTTGCAGAAACTGTACAGGCATTAAAAGACCAAGCACACGGGACGCTCAACACCTCAAGGCATAAAACAGCTTCCTACCATGTGGATAACTAAAGCTGAATCTGTGTTCTCTGAGCATGCCCAAAACCATCAACAAGGAAGAGCCCCCCACACAGATACTTCCACAGAAGAACAAGAGGCTACCACGCACCATCAAAATAAATTTTCTAGAGTCTATGAGCTGGGCACAGTTTCTGAACAGCATGCTAGAAAATAAATACATTAATGTCACTTTGCCACGGAAAAGGCAATATCTCTGCTTGCATCTTGCTGTGGTCTTCTCTGTGTTTTAAGTCAAAAGATTCGTGAAAAGCATTATTCAAAGACAGAGCATCAGGAATGTTGTGGCACAGAGCAGATCTGTCTTGCTAACAACAGGTTGCAAAACAAATGAAGTTTGGACATTAAATCGCACCCTCCATCCCACCTCACCCAAACCCTGCATTGTAGATAACCTATACATTCTCAGGATACAGTGAGAAATCATTCTATAGTACATATTTAATTATAATTTAAAAAAGTCTAAACTCAGACACAATCTCTGATCAGTAGCAAAGTATCGACACATCACTAGAAGAAAGATCTGTTATTATCCCTTCACTGTAACAAACAGAAATCAGCATCTCGAGAAGGTCTCTGGGGGTATCATATCACAACCAACTGCACTGAGTAAAATAATATGCTGATTTTACAAATGGAGTTTGACAAGAAGTAACATTGCATTTGTCTTGGCAAAACGAAGCACGAACAAAACATTTCACAGGTACAGTCACCATGCAAATGCATGTTGAGTTTGTCATTGCTTTTAACCCCAAATCACAAGAAGCATGCAGTTTTCCTGCCCCCCCCCCAACTACTGTATTAGAGATAGCCTGGGTAATGTACCTCTTTGGTGTAACCATAGCCTGTAGGCAAGATTATACCACTTTAGGAAAGAATACAAGCAAAACTCGATCATATGTGTGTTTACACAATGTACATTTTAACCATTTAAAAAACAAAACATGTTACATAGATTCTCAAACACAACTGTTGAAAATGAAATTTTAAGCTTAAGAAATAGTTTTTAAACTACAAGGCCACCCCATTATTTTTATGAACAATTTAAAAAGTTCCCACCCCTAAAAATCTGCCAGTATGTATATTTCCTCAGTTGTAACAGTCTTACCCACTCTCTTAACACAATCCATCTTTGCTCAACAGCAACAACAGTTCTTACATTTTTTAAGTGTATAATGGACTCCGGGATAGATAATAGTTCTTAAATGAGAAACGATGGAACATTTGCCTTAAATGTGTAATTGGTCAATTCAGGTGTTCCATGGCACCACCGCTCAGGCAGGGGCTGCTGCTGTTCACTGATGTGAGTTCTGGCTTTTGTTGGCATCTAGCTCCACGACTACACTTTTGTGTTCAGAATTTGGGCACAACACCGATGCACTGGACGCTCTGGTAGGCCTGTTGCTCAGATGCATACAGGAGCTATGTTTTCCACATTCCCTCATCCAAATGAGGCGGAAGCCTCAGCGCAGCACCTTTGGCCAACACGGAACTATTTGGATGTGAAGTAGAATCTATTTTGTGTGTATTCATTTAAGCAACTGCAACAGGAGACTTAACTTGCAGGGTCTTTATTAGAGCGTTACCGTCTTCCTCAGCTTTATACAATGGAGCCCTTTGAAGAAGATAAATGGATTGACTGAATCCTTGTGGCCAACGTCCTCTGTAAGTCCTGTAGTACATTCTGACCAGACGTTTCTCCGTTCTTGTCATACAACAGCTGCTTGAAAGCTTCGTTTTCAATGAGGACCATCATATTTTTTAGAAAGTAGCCTTCGCAATAGGAAGATAGTTCTGTGACTCCGAGAAACTACAAGAAGTGAAATTGGAGAAAGATAACCATTCTGATAAAACCTCATCAGCAAGAACAGTGCTAAGATCTGTACATAAACAAACGCACAAGCTGAGCCTTTCACACTGTAAGTTAACACTTACAGATAAGCATGTTGCAGGGGCACAAGTTAATCAAACAGTATTTTATACCAATGATTTTATACCAATGGTTACAAATTCAGTGCTCAGAAGATGAAGCTTTGGTCCCCTAGAAATAGCTATGAGTTTTACCACTGAGTTCACCAGACCCATGATTTCATGCCAGTAGCCACATCCTAAGCCCATAAGTTTAGGAAGAACTACAAGCGACCTTCGAGTTTCGAGAATTCCATCCTTAGCAAGAGTAGGATTCTTGGCTGCAGAAGCCTGTTGTGTAACAGCTTTGGGGGATCTCTGGAGGAGTAATGGAGGCTAAGTGTGAGCAACCCTTGGATGTGTGAGCTCAACTGTGTGAGCAAACCACAATGACCCATACTGGCCATTTGATGGGTGACTCATAGTGGTCATCACCCACTGGTTAGTTCCTGCAGTCACGCAAGCACTACAGCCATGATACATAGGAATTTAAGCTATGTGAGTGTACAGAGCACAGCTCAGCACATCCTCCTGCGCAGGTAAGCTCCTGCTGAGTCTGAGCTCTGAGAAAAGCATGAATCTTTGGCTCTGGGGTGCATCTGTGAGGCCAGGACTGCTGGGAAATTTCATAGCTTTGGGTCCAGACTGTAACAACTGCACAGCACTGTTATCCTACACCACCTTAACGTTACGTTTGGAGCTAAGAGTGGAAACTGTTAAAAATAAGAGAAAGAACATATATTGGGACAAGGTAGGTTCTATCTTCCAGAGGAAATTTCAATTTGAAACCATGCAGGTTTTCAATAAATTATGAGTGCATTACTTTGCACCTGGGTGTGACAACACATGTTTGAATCTCTATTCTTCTCTGAAATGCCATTTATCTCTATTCATTATTTTATTATATCCACAGTATTGAGTAAATGCTGTATTTTTCTTTTCTTTTTTTTTTTTTTGGTCAGGCTTGTTCTGAGGCTCAGCTTGCAAGCTGTGCAAGCACTGAGTGTTTTAGACAAATACTTGACACTCCAATTGATTTTTCTGAGACTTTAAGTAAAAAACAACTGGTTTCGGGTGGTAACTGATCAGTCACCATTATAAGTCCTATTTGCCTGGTGATTACATCTTTTTCTGGAGGTAATGTGTAAATGAAGCCCTGAAAGTGATGCTGATCAAAAAACTGCCTTCGTAGATGTTGCAATACTATGAACAGAAAATCACAGACAATTTAATATTTTCCATTCCATTTTTAAATTGCAAGTGAGACAAAATCCACATTCTCTCACACTTCTAGCAGTACTTCACCTCCTTAACCCAAGGCCCTAAACTCTCATTCCTACATCTCTTCACACTGATAAACACTCCTCTCCTATAACATATGCCCCTACCACAGACAGTGTTCCAAATCTGTTCTCTCTTCATCCTATGCTTCCACCAAATTAGGTCTTAATTGTGATGAGAAAGACTGTGTTCCCTGTGTCCAGGTCACCTTGCTTGCACATTTTCACCTGGAAAAGCAGATCTCAGCATCTCCTGACTTCCTGCAGGTGCATCTGATCTTGCAAAGTAACGAGGACTACAAACTGTACCTATGAAATGGAAAGGCAGACAGTGTGCTGGCAAGTGTGTCTGAACTGTCTGTGAGCTCCCCTGCTTCATGAGGACATCTGGTCTCTTCTGCCATGTGCCATTCACATAAACAAGTAATGAAGCTGCAGTGTGGTGGGAGCATTCTGAGCAGAATGAACTGGGCTCAGCTTAGTAAGCTGCACAACACACAGACCTGAAGCAAAAAGATGGAGTAGTCTACTCTTCAAACAGCACGGAGGAGAAGAATTTGAACTAGCTTTAAATGTGTTAGTTCATGTTCTGAAAACCTTCTAGGTATAGAAGTATGAAGCTTAGCCCTGGTTATTTACTGGAAGCAGGGTCAATTAGAGGAGCTCTGAAGTGATGTAGATTAACCAATTCCAGAAGTCAGGATTTCACTCACAGCTAGCTTAGCTATCTCTGTAATGTGCTACACGTCAATGCAAACATGACCCTGGCCTTAAAAACCTCTCAAGTAAACCATTTGCACTGACTCTACTGAGAGATAAAGGCACAGGAAACTTGCAGGCTGAAGCCCTTATTGGAAAACAGGAACCAGATTTAGCCACTGGAACACTGGATTTCTTCAGTGCCAGCATTGGCAGTGTAGAAGTCCCTCAGACAAGTCTAAAGCTTGGTATAAGAGCATTCTTCAATCAGGATACAACCATATTTCACAACCCAAAGAAAGCATTTTTAAAACAAAATTGTTCCATTTACTTTTGGTAATAGCAATATAAATTGAGAAGTTCCCTCATGACCTTGAAAATAAATGAAGAATTTTTTGAGAGTACTGCACTGGTGATTTTATTTCCTATTACAATAAGTGGTCCTGCAAATACACGTCATTTTTTATTCATTTTAAGTGGAACTTTATGCTATATCCAACACTGATTGCATGGTATCTGTACATCGAGATCTAATGTTACTACTCAACGTAGGAAATAGCTGACTGGAATGGAGGTCAGATTTGCAGAGGCTTGGAGCAATCTGCAGGATTACTCTGTTCAGTCAAACCTCAGTACCACACTACAAACATTTTCATGTAGTCCATGTGAGGAAAATCATTCAAGGATTGTTTTAAAATTATTTATTGCAACTATTTTTGTATCATTTCCATCCTCCAAAACTTACTACTTAGTAAATGAGGGGAAAAACTGAAACTCGTCCACGTGGCTATTCTAGGTCAAAACATGCCACGTTTTTATGCCTGATGGCCTCCACACAAGCTAAGTAAATGATTTAATTCCAGTCCCCTCTCCAAGACATAAAATTCTCACTACTGTGCTTGCATGGCTGTGATACACTACTACACTTTGACAATGTGGCGTTTTCATATATTGAAAAGCTGTCACCAGCACTGTGGGGTTTAGGCAGGAGGCAACAGGAACTTTAATAGGAAAATGCAGCCTGGAAGGTGAAAAAGAGATATCTTATTCAGTTAGGTGATTCCTGTTGAGTAACTTAGCAATTTGGATCGCTGTGGTAAGATACGGACCTGCCAGTAGAGTCTGAACCATTGGAGGATAGTAGGAGGGTGAGAAGTTGCCAAGACATTCTTAGACATGATTAGGGACTGTCACTCTCCCAGTACCTTTTTACAGTCCCAGTACATGAATGACAAATGCTAAATATGCAACAAACATAGTAAGCACATGACATATGCATTACTACTTATACTATGAGCATGAGGGCAGACCAAGTAACATGCATGTGTGGTCATTTTTACCTTGGCATGATTATAAATATCCACGCAGTTTTCTGTATTAATGCTTTTTGCACAAATGATCTCACAGTGTCGTTGTAAAGCTTCAAGCTGGAAAAATTTAGCAGCAGAGAGAAGCTAAAAAAATAGGAAAGAAAGAATAGTCAAAACTGCTGAGCAATACACATTCAGAGCTTGATTCTTTACCGCTTCATTATAGTTTTTCTCTGCCCCTGCTTCAGTCTGAGTTAAAGCACTGACCCCTGGCAGTCAGTCAGAATGAGAGGGTTGCTGTAGTCTCCTCTAGATCCTGCTGTGAGAAGGTGGACATAGAGGGACCACCACAGCCTGTTCAGGTCCATATGCTGGCCTTGGGACAGGGATTTGTGTGTGTGTCAAGAAGAGGCAGATTGGAGGGTCCTTGTCACTCTGCTAATGTGCAAATAGGGATCTGCAGCTACATTCCAGGAAATGAAGGTTTGGATTCAACTGTTCCTCAAGATCTGGCTGAAACTGAACACCTGGGTTTGATGTGAGGATGTCAGCAGAAGGGCCAGGACCGTGAGAATAGAAGAATTCAAACCAGATGACAATAACCACCCTAGGTAGTCTTAAAAACCTAGAGAGGCAATAAACTTCAAACTTCTCACCTCAGAAGGCTCAGGGAAACGGAGTCAGGTCTCCACATGCTCCTTGCTCTGTCTCATCAGCAGCAGTAAGGTTATGTCTAGGCCATGGGTTTGAAATGCTACCTGGCTCCAAATGACTGAGAACCAGCTTGATGTGAGGCCACCACTAACATGAGGGTTGTGCATCCGTAACACTACACTCTTGTGCCATCAGGACTCACACTGACCTTTCTCTTTGGTCCCATGCCCACCCAGGGTAGGCAGCCTGGACTGGCACTGCTCTGGAGATCTCTGCATGGCACAGTGAACATAACCTGAAGCCTGCAGCATGAAAACCTGGCTTAAATTGTGCCTTCTCCAGCTGATTTCCATTGGATTGCCCCTAATGCTCCTTTCCTGTCCTCTTACAGTTGGGGGAGTTAGCTTCATTTTCTGATTTTCTGCAGTCCTCATTGCTTCTGGCTCTCTGCTCTGGTTTAGAAAGCAGACTGAGTTTCTTCACTGCTTTACACCTTGCTCTAACCCAGGAAGGTCCTTTCAGGCTGAGCTGGTCACAGGTTCTGGTGTTTATAAGGGCTTTACCAACACAGACCTCAGGACAGTCTTCTCATGATTCCCAGAATGGCCCTTACACTTCTAGCTCGGAGCGCTGGGGAACAAAACCCTCAAACTACCATAACATTATTCTTACTTCCCCTATGCAGTCCATTCAAGTTCTGCTTTAGTCCCATAAATAAATCCAAGTGCTGGAAATCTGCAGTGCTGATGTGATAGCAGCCAGCTGGCCTCAATTATGAATTGCAGCAAAGATTTCTTTGGAGTATTTCTGGTGCTTCTTGTTATCATATTTGTAATAAGGCAAGTTGCTAAATGCAGTTTTGAAAGATAAAGCTAAATCCTATTCCAGCTGCCTCTGTGGCTCAAGCAGTCACGTGCTGGTTTGTAATTACTTTAAACTGTGAGGAACCGTAGCCAGATCTGTTATCAACAGATCAATCAATCAGCCATACATTCTGGAGTCACAGAAGTTTTGAGATGCAGAAAAGTAGAGCAAGCAGCCAGCTGAACTGCAGCACCAACTTTTTAACAACCTAGGTGATTATGTATGCATCACTACAAAGCCATTGCGCTTTTTAGTCTGAAACTCTCCTTATTTCAGAAAGGGCCAGGAATTTAAGGAGCTGTTTTCAAATTGTGAATGAGAGAATCAGTGACCTTTTCCTGTACAACTCAGAAAGTCAGTGTGGGTCCACCATCTGCAGTGCACAGGGATGATCTCAGTCCTGACCAGTTTCATCCTCTGGTTGCCAGCAAGATTCATATACGGATGTCCCTGCATCCATCATAACTGCTTCGTTTCGGCCACTTTGTACCCCAAAGAAAAACAGTTCCCAATTTACAGTTAGTGGTATTTTGGTAACAGTCAAACCCCACATCAGTGCTCTGGACAGCAGTGTCATAGAGAGCTCTGGGGCTCTTCAGCCTGGAGAAGAAAAGGCTCTGGGGAGACCTTATAGTGGCCATCTACTACCTAAAGGAGACCTACAGGAAAGTTGGGGAGAGACCTTTTGTAGGGCATATAGTGACTGGATGAGGGGAAATAGTTTTAAACTGGAAGAAGGCAGATTTAGACTAGGTATTAGGAAGAAATTCTTTACTGTGAGGGTGGTAAGATACTGGAACAAACTGCCCACCAAGGTTGTGGATACCCCCATCCTTAAGGCATTCAAGACCAGGCTGGATGGGGCTTTGAGCAGCCTGGTCTACTGGGAAGTTTCTCCGCCGACAGTGGGGGGGTTGAACTAGAAGATCTTAAAGGTCCCTTCCAACCCAAACTATTCTATCACTCTATGACAGGGACAGATTAACTCATGTAGGCAATAATAAAAGATCACAGGGGCAGTAGCTCTTATTTTAGCCCTTATTGTCCTGTATCCCTTTTGGCTACCATTAGTTAATTGTCAACAGGAAAGCTCCTGAGTGACTACCACAGATTTGCTCTAATCTATCTTAGTTTCTGTTGAATTGGAATTGTTAAGTGGATCAGAGATGGTAATGACAGCATACAGTATCCGGAAGAGAAGGATCTAACATCCATAGAGGTTATGGACATGTGATTATGCTGAAGTTTCAATCAGTTCCAGAGGGCTTGGTGTGGGTACTGCAAATGGGCACAATGGCAATGGACTTTAACACACAGTAAGAAAGTAGCAAATAATTATCTCAGGAAGAAAGATATGAACACATAAGCCTGGGCTAATAAGCCAAAAGTAAGAGTGTTGTAGAGAAGCTCACTGGCCCAACTCAACAGAGCACCTCACCTACAGGCTGAGAGACAGAAAAGACAGAGTATTATGCTGCTGGGAGCTGTTTCCAGATATGCTGCTGAGAATAGTTTCCAGATACTGGTAACACCTGCTTTGCATTTCCTTGAAAGAGCCTCACAAATCATCTCAGTAGATATTTTTATTTCAGACAAACTATTTTGTTTGGTGATCTTTATTTTTCTACCTGGGCACTCTGGGCACTCAGCGGGAGGCAGTGATGTCTCTCACAGGAGTGCTCATGTCTTGCCCAGTTGTCAGGTACCCTTGGGTAAACCGTAAACAGATCATTTAGCATTGTTCTCCCTGAAATTAACCTAAATGTATCTTACCTCCATAATTTCATTGTTTTTAATCAAGAGTGACTCTGCACCTCCATAATACAGATACTGCATAACCAACTGTAACAAAACAAAGGCAGTGTTTATAAAAAACAGTCAACGACAAAGGAAGAAAGGAATGATGTAGAGATTGCAGATAACACCAGAGGCTCTCCAACATCACTAAGGATACGTAAATAAAACTGGCCAAATCCTCCTAATTTCAACATACATTTGGTTATTCTCTCTCTCTCCCTGCACAGTTCAATAGTTCTTTCTCATGGGTATTCTTAACCCTTGCCAGCCAGGTTGTCCATGCTTTTTCTTGAAGCCTAAACATTGTGCAGAAAGCTGGTTAATTCATTCTGAGTTTTCAATGTCTTTTCCAATGTGTACAGTGCATCATTTATTCAGGATAATAAAGCATATATAACGATTATTCCTTTATTCCCCCCGTGGCAATGGGACCAACACCTCCACTCAGCTGTGTGAGGGCATGCATGGGTGACAATAAATAATTGTGGAGGCTTTGCACTGCAATACGAGACAACTAAGATCTCTCTGCAGTGAGCTTCCAGCAGGTTTAAAGTCACTGTAGTGAGCTGGGAAATATCTTCATCTGTAACAGCTGATACATGGAACTGCCTGGGCTCTGACTCAAGGGAAGTGAAGCATATACAAGTATATGCTACAGAAAATACTCTGTATTTTCGTGGCAAAAAAAAATTGATTGAACAACATTGCTAAAGAAGCAAATGAACTGTGCCTGGAAGCCTGTCCATTAAATACAGAAAAAGTCAGCAAGAGAAAAAAGAACCAAGTACTTCCCGATGACATGCTCTGCTTTATCTGCATACCCTGTGTAAGTGAAATGTATGCTATTGAATCTGGTTGGGCATGACATTTGCTATCAATAGCACTATGCAGCTTAGTGTATGCAAGGAGATGGATTCTGTGCTCATGAAACCACTACTCTGAGCTATATGCTTATCAAACATACTTGTATTAGTTCAGACAGGGGACGTACAATGTTTCTATGTTCCATTCAAATTCAATGTGAGAACTGACTTTACCTGAAAGATGGGGTACTTCACATAGTTGATCTCAATACAAGTACTATCAGTTGAAGGCTTGCTAGACAGCAATGCTTTAAACCTAAATAGAAAGGAGCAAGATTGAAATACCAGCCCAATTATCTATGTGGAAAACTATGGTAGAGTGGAAGGACAGCATCAGCTCTTGCAAAAACAGTACACTGAAATGAATGGATTTGTCACTGAAATGCATCAGGATTCAGACAGTTACACAAAATAAAGTTCAAATTGAAAGGAAGAAGCCTCTCTTTTAGGAGATTTCAATTTGAAATTTTGGAAAAATACTTCTGATACCACAATAGAAAAAATGCATACAGGAGATTCAGATACCGGAAAGATGCATATCACAAAATCAAACTTCTTGTTTTCTTTTCTTTTTTTTTTGCTTGAAGGAAACATGGTTGTTTAGGAAGTTGCAAATTTAAAACTGTGCACTTAGTTTATTTGAAGATCATTTTTAGCCTATTTATATTATGCTGCTGCAAAAATGTTTTGAACAAAACATTAAAACAACTACATTAAGATTACTGCTTCTACACGGGCTTGATACAATTGTATAAGAAGTGGTAAGAGAGAAAACTAGGTATGCTACTTTTTCTGATTATCAAAACCTGAAATTCAGACATAGGTTTCAAGATAAAAACACTCCTAAAGTTAATTATTGCTAGATATTCTCATTTGATTAGAAGGCGAGTGCACCATCAGAAACATCTGCCCTTGTACCCTCTCTTGTCAATAATTCATCTGACCTTCTAGAGGCAGTGCAAAGTTTAGTTTATCTATCAAGACCAGCATTTGCTGGATGATAACCTCTTCCATACTATCACTGCATTTTAATTAAAATATGGATAACAACTGATTTGATCTTATTAGTGACAAACTCTATTTTGAAGGCAATTTAATAAGCTTAGAGCTAAAGTTCGGATTGTGCTTGCACATCTTTAATTATAAAGTTGTGTACAAATACCGTTTGTGATCAATGTAAAAAAGGAATACTCTTGAAGGCTGAGATGAGTGACCCACATCCAGCCTTCTGAGCACGGGGAGGAAAACGTAAGTACTGCCTTTTGATACAGCATGACATGTTTTATATGCATCTAATTTTATTTAAAAAAATGTAAAATCCCCAGTGAATCAAGTGATAGTAACTTGTTTCTCCTAGAGATTGTGTACATGGATGCAAGACAAGATTTAGCTGCTCATGGAATAAATGACTATTAAGAAGCAAACTATTAAGACTGCTCTATGTTTAAGGGCTGAATAAAGTGATGAGCTCCATGCAAATGTGCCTTGGTAGAATGAAGTCAGCTGCATGGCAAGGAGCGTGGAGCATTTACAGGGTGGGAATCTAGTGATGGAAGCACTTGTTATTGCCCTGCAGATCAATCAGAAATAGGCTGCTGAGATTTGCTGCTTAAGAAAAACTTGAAGATTGAGCCATTAACCCTCAAAGAATCTTAACAACACTAACGAAAATACAAGAACAATACAAAATCAATTTCTATTTTTGCTAAGAAAAGGAAACGTCTCTACATCTTACCGTGGTGATGCAGTAAATAGCAGCACTCTATGTGCATAAAATGGTCTTCCTTCCACCAGAAATGTAACATCTGACATCTCTTTGTTGTTAAGAAAATGGGGATCTAGAATTACAGAAAGGAAAAAAAAAGAAACACACCACCAATAAATTTGGTTTGGAAGAGTTCATGAATGTACATAATATTTTCCTGTTTTGACAAAAGAAGACAATGGTGTAAAAGGATATTGTTTATAATGAGTAAAGCCCATCAAGCTATTTTGGACAGTCTGAGACAGGAGACCTACAGTCAGGCATATGGAGTTCAGACTGAGGAAATTCAAAGTTTTGAAATCTGTGTCGATCTTTGCTGAGATGATGGCTAGCCAGTCCTGCCACAGGGAGCTGGCACAGCTTCCCAGCTCTGTTCCCCAAAGCAAACTGCAGAGAAATACCCTCAGACCATATCCTCACCCTCTCCCAGGGCAGGCAAGACTTTGTGCCAAGGGGAAAAGCGTTCTGGAAATTGGCTCACTTCTTCTCTAGGTCACAGTAAACCAACTTGGCCTCTGCCAGCAGGGCTGGGAGTGCCATGCCGCCACAACGTCACCCACAGCCAACCGCAGGGTTTGAGATATGGACAGACATTTGGTTTCGGGCCCTAGGCTGTGATTTCAGCCTCATTAGCAACAGATCTTTGCAGGTTTACAGTCCCACTCCAGTATCTGATGGTCCTACAGATTTCAGTGGGAATTTAGGACAGGCTAAGCTCAGGGCCTCTCATTTTTCTAGTCCTGCCTTCTGAGTCCACATTTTCTCTGACTTGCACGCTCAGCCTGCAATGTGGATTTCCCACAGCTCTCCTTAGAGAACCAAAGAACCATCTTCAGGTCATGCTTACCTAAGCGAGAGGTCTGCTTGCGCTTAATTTCCACAAGCTTTGGAATGGGGTAGGGTCCGTAGCAATGAGTGAAAATGACGGATAGCTGCTGACTTATCACTTCGTTCTAAGCAAAAGGAAACAAACACAAGCAACACAAACTTAGTATTCAAAGGGAGACATTAGATTATTCTCAAGAGCTGTTTGTTTTGAAGCTGAAAAATATGATTGCTGCAACTTTATTAAAAACCAGAAGTTTGGTATTTATTATAAACCACTTGTTTGTTGCATCCCCTACAGGAAGCAGGTAAAATGGAACGTCCTTTCCTTGCACCTTATTTTCCCAACAAACTCAAACGCCACCATCCCTTCCAAATAAGCCATGTTCCTTTGCCATTTCATTTCATTTTCAAACCTACTTCAATGAAAAATACCTTAATGTTGCTCCTTGGAAAATGGTCATTGCTCATGTTTTAGAAACAGCCAGCATACATTTCCAAGCACGACGTCCTCATATACAGCCCCTCCTTTACAGAATGACAGAAGCATCACAGAATGCCAATGAAGCTCCTCATTTAATCCCAGACATGTCATTAATATGATCTTATACCCCTGGCATTGGTTCTCTGAGGAGACCACCAGAACCTCACAGAATCAGATCCCCGGCTCTACCCAGACTAAACTTCAATGACAGTGAAATGAATTTAGTGCTTAACCACCTGAGTCACATCTGATAGCAGGATTCAAAAGTTCTTGCAGATTTTACCCCAATCTCTGCTGGTACTGGAACTCATCAAATTTGATGGAGCCACACAGCTAATTCCTGAAAATGAAGCTACCATGTTGGTTGGCAATTCCCTTCCATACTGGGAAACCATGAAAAAATGAGATGCTTAGATGGTCCAAGACCAAGGAAGTAAGCAAGTAAGGAAGTAAAATTATAACAATATAAACAATAGAGGAGTTTAGATGTTATACTAAAAATATCTTCAGGCTTATTAAGCAGAAATTGAAGTCTTCCTTCTCTGAGCACATTTCAATTCAGTTCTAAAAGTAGAAATTCCTTAAATCCCACAAGGGATGAGGAGAAGTGGCAGAGATACTGTAATAACTCTTGCACCGTATCTAATTAAACAGGGTGGGAAAAGGAAACGAGCTGTGCCTTCATAGGCACACGCTGATGTCAAAGGAAATTACATGCACTCGCCTGCAGGCAGAAGTTGGCTCCCATTACTACATCAGACATAATATTGAAAGAAATATCGGGATAAGAGAGAGATACTAAGAAATACTGATACCAAGAGAGACCACTCAGCACGGCATGGGAGCAGCCACCAGTGAGGGCTCACTGTTGTGGCTCCAGGACAACGTGGATGCAGTGCCCCAGGAGCATCTCTGTTCAGCGTCAGCAAAGCTGGAGCTCTGCAAATCACTTCACAAAGGGAGTGAATCACAGGGAAAAAAGAAAAGGAAGATTTAAAGCCAGATTTACAGAAGGAAGTGACTCAGCCATTGGGAGGGATGCGGGGAAAGCTCTAGACAGACAGGGCAGAAAGAGCAATTGCTTCTCTGCTCGGAAGGGCTGTGCCGAAGCTGTGCTGGCTGAGTCAGCCAGGGAGGAGCATGTCCAGGGGGATGCCGATTACCAGGGTCTGAGCTGGAGGCAGCAGGCACTAAGATGTCAATAAATACAACACAGGATGAGGCTAATACCGTATTTTGGAGTGAAGGGAAGCTTCTGAAGAGGAGAGGTATAAGAGCAGTGCCTACTTACACATACATATACGTCAAAAATACAAAGCATCTCCTCCTCCCTTGGATGCCCGTGGGAACGCACTGATAATAGAACAGATATCAACCTCCCAGGGCCTCATTAGGAGCCAGAGGTCTCACCCACTGCAGACCAGGAAGTCCAGGTGCATTGAGACTGGGAAGGAATGAGCCTGCCACAGCCATGCACGGTTGGGAAGAGGATCCACACTTGTAACTTGAACTGGCATGATGGACGAGTCAAATGCAAACAAGCCTGGGGAACCTGTCAGTCTCCTCAGCACAAAATGGGTGATGAGCCCTGCCACAGCATGTGGACCCCAGCCCATTGTACAGCCATCTCGCCACTGACTGCCCACAACCCCATTGGGAACTGGTCTAGATTAAGCTCTAATTAACTCAGAATAGGATACAATCATATAAAAGAGGCTTTAGAACACTATGGTGCAGAACAAAGATGGAACAAAAGGAAAAATGACAAAGGAAAGGGAGACTAGGATCAATGAGTCAAAGGAAACAGGGCTATCAAGCAGGCAGAGACACTATGCATCATGGACCTTCAGAGCTCTCACACAGGACACTGCTTTCATTTGGCAGACAGGAGGCTGGAGACCTTTGGCTTCTGTTGATAGATTTAAGAAACACGCTCAGATAGAAAGACAAAGCATTTAAAGTCATCACTAACAAAATATAGCAAGTTTTCTTCCAAAAAGACATGGAAAGGAAGAAAGAACAACTGCTCCCCATGCAAATCTGCACACAGCCAAGCCTCCTAGGGCCTTGGCCCTGGCCCTGCTTCCTGCAGCCTACTGGCATCTCCAATAAAGCAGGCAGAAAGAAACAGCAAGGAGGAGAGATAAAAGGGATGCTTCGTGAAGGGTACAGTCTGCAACAGCATTGCTGGGGAAAAAAAAACCTTGCTTTTCCAGAAGCCCAATGTTTTTTTTCTTGGAGCAAGTTGTGGTCGGCTGCCCGTGAAGCAACTGGAAACAACTACAGGAGACAACAACCTGGTACATCAGAATTGCTCCAGCAAAGAAGATGACATTCCACCGTATGTGCACCAATGTCAAGAAGCTCCAAAGCTGTCTTGGTTACTACATCCAACCCACTTAAGATCTGAACATTATTCTTTCCTGCTTATTCATCACCCTACCAGCTGATTGTGTAAGAACAGCTGTAGGAGCTCTCTGCAGCAGTTGTGGGTGGTGATATCAACACCAGAGAAGCAAACCTGTTTGTTTTCTTGCCATGGTTTGAAGTTAGAAAATATTTTGCCTTGATGCTTGATGCTTGATGCTGAGATCCAGATCAAGGCCAGCTTCCTCTCAGATATGAGCATGCATTTGCAGTCAAAGGGAGCTCCATGTGCATCTGCTTTTATGGGAGGGGGAAGAAAGCTTGGCATAAGATACAATGAAAATATTTACCTAGCCACAGGGTAGTTTACAAATAGGCTAAAGGGAACAGGGAACAACAGTGAATCTTCTTAAGGAGACAATGCTTCCAGCAGAGAGTTGGTTGGTGAGCAAGCAACTTTGCTTTGTAGATACATGCGGCCTCCTGACTTAAAAGCATTCTTCAGAGGAGATCTAACGGAATTCCCCACACTTGAACTGTGAAAGGAATTCATAAATTCTTTTGAAGCAAAGCTGAAGTTTTTCAAATTGCCAGAGCAGAGACAACTGAATGATCTGAGAGGAGGTAAAGAACTGGGTGGGGTATCTTTTCCTGAACGCCCTTCTGATGATGAAGATCTGGCAGCACAACTCAAGAAAGGCTCCTCAAGACTTAGGCACAACCCATGGAAGAGTCTGCTTCATTTCTTCTGACTGGGTTCAAGCTGGCCTAGACATTCTGAAATGTCCTACAAGGTACTGGACATAGCTAGGACATACCAAGTAGTTTTCTCCAGTACCTGCAGAAGATAAGTGTCATCTTGGTGACTCGTGCTACAAAATCTCAAGAAGCAAAACCTAGGCTGGATTCAGAAGTCAGGCTAAGGATTTCCCTTTGCTTTTCCAGCAAGATCACACTTTCCTTTAGTTGCCTCTTCTTCATGGGTTTCCCCAGATTCTCCCTGGGTCGCTCAAATCCCAGGCTAGGAATCCTGACTGGTCTAAGATACCCTGCCACCTCCACCTCAGTGCCTTCTACAGTGGTAACAATTTAGGCTGCTCTTCTTTGCCAACTTAGCCCGAAAATACCAGGCCCTTGAATTCCTCTACCACAAAGCCACAAAAACAAACACGTTGTTAAGCTGAAAAATAACACTCTCATTCTGGGCTCAGTGTTTGTCATTTAATACATATCTGCCCTGTAAGCAGAGAAAGCATGCTGCTCAGGGCACAGGGGTGCTGGCAAAAGTAACTTTTCTCTTGCTGGTCCTGAGGATGCTGGGAGAACCCAGCTCTCTGCTAAACACAGAGAAGCAGAAGTGCTGCTTCCAGTCACCTGTTCTACATGTGGTCCCCAGACACTGTTCGAGCAGTGAAGTCTCAAGATGCCTCAGATCCACTGAGGGGTCATGCATGAACTTCCTTCCATAACAGGCTGGGATGCCTTTGAATTATTCCTCTACTTACCCTCCCTTCTTCCCATAAAGAGTCAATAAGTGCTAAGGCAATAGAAAGGGCTTTTCATAGACCTCCCAAGCTCAAGCACTCAAACTCTGCTACGAGACTTTGTTTGCCATCTCTCTGAATCTTTGTCATCCTTCCCTGGGTGCTTCCGCTACAGTCCTCAAGCATAATTCATTTTTTTACCAGCTGCATCCAAACTGATTAAATTCCGCTTTAGAGGGTCACTCCTAGATGATTAAACAGCACACACATAATTCATATTAGTCAACAGTTGCAAAGGTAGGGAAGCCCCAGAGGTTGAAGACACAGTTAGAGGCAGTGAACTGCATAACAAAATGGGTTTTGTTAGTGCCGGGCTCAAGTCATTCCACTGCAAATACAAACGGAAAGGAATTAATCACAGGTAAGGCACAAATGGACCCTTCAGCTAGCTCTGGGAAAGCTGCCAAGTCTTCCTTTCAAAAGACTCTTTATATCACAGCTGTGCATTGTATGTAAAAAGCTGAGATCCCTGGGCACAGTCTAATCCCTGGGTGAGAGCCCATAACAGGGCAGGTGTCACATCCATGGCAGTTATTTATTGTCAATGAAGAAACGGCTCCTGCCTCTGGCAGGGAAACATTTTAGAAGGCAGACGGAGAGTAGGAAAAAAATAAATCAAACCTGTGTTAGTATGAAACTGAATTTGTGTTATGAAAACACAATACAGGGTTAATAGTTGGTTATTAAAATGCCACTTGGTACCTGGCGTTCACATCTCACACGGAGAATGCAT